GCCGGTGGAGGCTGCTGCGTTCGGGGGAAGGCCTCTGGGGGCTCGGGGCCGGGGAACCCGACCTGTCATACCCCGCCGTGGGGCCCACCAGCCCACACAGGAACGGACTGGTGGGCTCCTGGCCGATTTCTGCAGTGGAGTTTTTTCCAGCAGCTCCTGAGGGGACTGCTGGTTCCGTAGCATTATGCCGGAGTCCTGGCCAGAAGCATGTTACGTGGCATGCCTGGTGTCTTGTGCAGTTTCCGATCTCCTCGCCACAGCCCCTGCCGTTAGTGTTGGTCGCTTCCAGAAGCGTGGTACTGTGGCGAGTGAACAAAATAGTTGTGCTTGCTTTAATGAATTCCCTGACAGCATTTCGCATGCTTGGGCAGCTTGCCCTGGCCAGCCTGTCTACCCTGATAGTAATCATTCATCTGTCTATCAAGACCACTTCAAAAATAATTTCCCTGAATCATGTCTTAGGAGAAGGACGTACTAACTTCTACTAGACAGATGTTTGTTCTGTTGCATCCATTCCTTACTCTTTGTTTTGCATGTATACAAACATGTAAAAATGTGTTAGGTGTGTGACTGGTTAGGACCTGCTCTGAATGCATTCGAATGTCATTAATGATGTAGTTCTCTTCAAGGGTCTCTGATTCTCCTTGTAGGCTCTGGATTCTCCTTGTACAGCACTGGGATAGAAATATTTTTCATGTTGTTTCTAGTGTACTCCTTTCACTTCACTCATCAGCTGCAGCAGCCCGCTAGGTTTCCCTTGGATCTCAATTCAGGGTCATGCTCTTCTTTGCAGACCCTTGCCATGTTGTCTGTCCCTGGGGCCACAGCCTTCCAGTGGAGCATTTAAATATAGGCAACAAAGACTATTTGTTGTCATCTTTCAAAGACTGAGCATGTCTTTTGCAATCTATGCTGTCATTTAGAAAACCCAAAGTTATTTTAGGGTATGAATTGTTCCTTGGGCCGTCAGTAGGAAAACACTCAGAAATGCGCACCTTGCAAATCATCCTGTCCTGCCCTTGTACCGACAGCATTCACTTGAAATGTGTCATCCTTTCTTTGCATATTCTGTTAATACTTGCTCTCAAGCAATTGTAGCGATTCAGAGAAGCCATGTGCATGACAGATGATTATAGTGAATATGAAATCTGACAAGAAGGGAAGTGGAAAAGGTGACTGTCCACCCCCTGACGTTTTTGTCATCTGGCTGTGGCATTGGTGTGCAAAAGTAAAGCTTGAGAAAGAAAATGCTTGTGATTCAAAGTTCATGAACATGAGTGTCATTAGGGTTTTGTCTCAGTTTGTGATTGCTCTCATACTGTATCTGGAAACACAGATTTTTGCCTCTAGTGTGATATTAAGGTGACTTTCTGATGTGGAACTTCCAGCTGATGTTTGCTCAGTGGAATAAAGAGGAAGGGAGGTGATAGAAAAGCAGTGTGAAAGACAGAAAGCTTTATGTATGGGGGAGTTCCAGAATTTCCAGACCAGGAGGTCAGAATGTGCATTTTGAAAGCCATATCTGTCTGTCCTATAGTACTGAGCTCCCAAACCACTCTGGAATGAGGCCTTTCAGCCTAAAGCTTTGGCTGTCAATGCAAATTGTTCCTGCAGCATGCGGAATGTTTTAGCATAAGATCAAATGCCTTGTTCCTAACACAAACTCCTATTTGAGGATTTCTCTTTCGATTCTAGAGAGACTAGTGACATGAAGTTAAGTTTGAGATATGAATCAACCAAGTTGTTGAGGACTGAAAAAGGTGTGTTTTTTTTTTTAAAGTAAGACCTATCCTTTAAGTCCCTATTTGTGACATGTAAACTTTATATATAATATAATAATTATAGCAGGTTTCAGTCAACTTCCTTCTTTTTATACCAATGTCCTTTGTGATAGAGGTGCTTTAGGTAGTCCATTCATGCAGAAGTAAAGCAGACCTTGTTAAACAGGTGATTCTCAGCAAAGGGAACCTGAACCTTCGTTAAATCACTTTTGTTCAGGATGTTATACCTATCCTTGCCTGTAATCAATCCGAAGGAAAGTTTATGGCAGTAGGCAGAAACTTTAATTTGGCATTGGTTAGCAACATCGCTTTGAACATGTATGCAGCCCCACTGTGAACTCAAAAGTATAGGTTTCCACCAGGAGTCCTGGAGGTGCAGGTTTATGTGCAAGATGTATGTATCTGTGTGAGCTGCGTTCTGCTAGTATACCAGAAAGGTAAATATGTGGTACTTAGTGAAAACGCTGCTCTGTGACTAACTGTATGCCGTAGGAAATCTGCAGTTGATTCCTGCAAATTTGTGCCTTGTGTTGTTAGAACGGGCAGATGCGGATCTCTCGTCTGTGTCCGTGGCAGGTAGCAGGCCCCGCTTTGGGATACAAAACCTCTGTGAATCCTGGGAACAATGTGGTTCCCTTTCTTTGTGCATGTACAAGCTCAGCTCCTTTATTATCCAGAAAACCAAAAAATACCAAGTTCAGAGTACATGCAGGAGAGTAGGACAGATAGGCTTAGTTCCACCTAGAGTACAGCCGAATGCCGACCATGGTGGTATCTTTGCGCTAAGTGTACTTCCAGCTGACACTTGATATCTTTCTAGGCAGGTCTGCAGCCCGCGATGTAGCAAGTCCTTTTTCCTGCGCTGTTCCGTTCTGTGACATGCGTAGATATGAAGGGCATGTTTATCTTCCAGATGCATTACGCAGCTGCAAAATTGAATTGGCAAAACTTGCTTTTTGGACTGGCCAAATGATGTGCACATATGTGCTTGAGAGTGTTTTGTGACACAGCAGTTGTATACTAATTGGAAGCCCAGGTTTGCAAGCAGGACAGAAGAAGTGTAGCTCTTTGCAAATGTCAGAGAAGGAATGATGATGCTCCTTTTGAGGCCAAAGCTTGCTTTGAATGAGCCACTGCTGTCAGTGAAGGTGAGAGCCCTGAGATATCCTGAGTGAGCTTACTATCAAAGTCAAGTATTTCCATGACACCCTGTGGGCCAAATGATGGAAGTCTTGCTAGCAGAGCGTGTTGAGCCCCGGGCTCTTTACAGTATTGGCCTGATTTAAAAAAAGCAAACCATAACCTGCTTTGCGTAGTGTTTCTTTATAAACAGTTAGGGAGCTGTCCTTTTTCTTTTTCCTTACCCCCCCCCCCCCCAATCCAAAAAGTGGATCTTGACTGAAAGTGCTGAGTTACAGAAGAGGGAAGTTACAGGATGGAAGAAGCTGTTTGAGCACTCTGTTACTCATAAACAGCTCTTTGCTCTTTCTCCCCCTTGCTGCCCTGGAAATGTGTTCAACAATATCTACAAATATCTCACAGTCGTCTTGTGGGGTACAGAAGTCACCTTTTGCAGGCATGGAGCGTATTGGGAACTGTCCTGGAAGAGCATGTGGGGCGAGGGGGTCTTGTACTTGGGCTGTAATTGTATGACTGAAAGCATGTTTGTGTAGCTTGGGCCTCCTGTTTGACTTTGGTTTCTTTTCAGGTAATGTTTTACTGTAATCTTGAATTTGACATATGACCTGATAGACTAATCTGCAGTTCAGAAGAAGTACAACTCATGACCTGGCTGGTCACTTTCTGTCCTGTGTTCCCAAGGACCACTACTGGAGGTGATTATTAGTTGCTGACTGTTTACACGCTCTGTTTTTTTTCTGCATTAACTAGAAGTCCAAGAAGGGAGCATGGACCAGCCCAGCGGAAGGAGTTTCATGCAAGTTCTTTGTGAGAAATACAGCCCTGAGAACTTCCCATATCGTCGTGGACCTGGTATGGGGGTGCATGTTCCAGCAACTCCACAGGGTTCACCTATGAAAGGTAGGGTTCTGGTGTTTCTGAGCATCTGTGGGGTTCTGGGTGGGATCAGTTTCTTGGTTGTTCTTGCTTATGTTGAAAGGAGAATTGCCCTGAATTGAGCAGAAAAAGAAACATCACGATGTATTATAATGTATTTCTTACTGAAGAGCTGAGAGACTGGGATCTAACAAAGAAAGTTGATCTAGTGACTGAACCGGTTGCTGTAAAAAAAACAAGTTTCCCTAGCCCTGTCATTGCCAACATAACGGAATCAGAATCCTGTCAATGAAAGATGGAAATAAGGCCCTGTGTGCAGTGCTGAGTTTTGAGGGTTCAGCAGTCCCTGGAGCTTATCTTCCTCAGACTCGTGATGCTAACTATTTTATTAGTGGCTGCAACAACATGTATTTTGACAGAGGTGGCTTAACAAATACACAACACTCAATCTAAATTTGAGGTTGGTCCTCATACTAGTGGTGTCACACAGTGCCATAACTTGCATCAATGCCTGCAGGTACAGAAGGAGTCCAGTATACACAGGAACGGACCGTATTTCAAGCCAAGCGATGAGTCGTTGAATCTCCAGCTAGGCTTCTTTTGTGACAAGTGACTCAAATTTGTGGTTTGCTTTGACTCTCTTTTCAAGGCATCAAATGCTGTGTGACAGTGCTTATGCTGACCTAGTGGAGAAAATCCCCTCTCTCCTTTGCCTCTGACCTTGCTGCCATGGGGGAGTTTCAGACGGATGTGTGTCTGAAGCGCTGTGCTGCTCACATATGTCCTTGAGCCTCCTAGACTGCAGAATCTGTGTTGCTATTTCTTGCTCTTTGAACTGGATCCATCTGACACCCTTTAGTCTCCCTCACGCTCTGATGTTAGCGTTTGGTTCATGGTTTGTACGGATGAGTCTGAAATGCACATTTATCCCAGCAGAACTGCCCCTTCTTTGTGTAACCTCTTGCCCATCTTGGTCCGTGAGAGCAGTTTAAATTTCCATCAGGTCAATTTGTATCCTAACCATCCCCAAAGGGGAAAACAGCCATGGAAGTCAGCTGAGTGAAGTTTACAGTAACTGAGTTTGACAGAGGAGAAAAAAGGGACCAAGTTCAGTTGAGGATAAAATGTACTGCGTCACTCAAAATTAACATGAACAGAAAATTGGCCTGATGGAATATTCAGTCAATGCCCTCTCTCCTGTGTGTGAGCACCTGCTTACCTGAGCTGTTTGGATGCTGAAAAGAGGGCATGTTTGTAAGTCTTAAAATGTGACCGAGACGTGACTTATAGGTACGTCACGACTAATTCCCAAAGTACAATGCTACCCTTTAAAGAAGCTGAACGCTAGTGAGTTGAGAAACGTGAAAACTCTGATAGCTCCAGATAATTGTCTGCTGCTAGAATCCCTTCCTGGTCGTGTAGCTGTCAAGTATTAAGGATAGAGAAAAAGGCACACCTTTTTAGGAAAAATCTTGTTAAATTTTAATGGATTTTGATATTCTGCAGAGGTGGGAGAGCCATATTGTATGTCAAAGAGTCTAAGACTGATGGCTTGGCTAAATGTGGATTTCTTGCATTGAAATGGTTTCCTGTTACAGATCCACAACTTTTAACTTTGTCATATGTTGGCCTTAGCAAATCAGGCTGTGATTGCGATGCAAGTCCTTGTCTGTGAAATAGTTGCGAGAACATTTACCTGCCGGAGGAGGAACCAGAGCAAAACTGAAGCAGAAACGTAAAAGGCAGAGTAGAGATCTAAGTTTTTCCAGGATGTCAGAATGCTAAACGTTCTACATTGTTGAAAAGGGAAAGCTTAGAGAAGAAATGTTTAAATACATCCTTGCTGTTACTAACGCCAAGTGGGCTAAGTACAAGAGGGTAAGGCAGTCTGACTTGGTGCAACTAACGGTCCACCTAGTCCTGTGTCCTATCTGCAGTAGCAGATGCCTGGGGAAGAGTGTCAGTTCTGGCAAGAACTGATAAGAGACATACTATAAACTACAAAGGACTGGCCCGTCCTCACTGCGATGTGGACAGAAATGCTGAAGAGCACTGATACTGAGTGGTGCTTCATGTTTAGACACAAGAAGACTTCTTGATTGATGTCGGTCACTTGTCGTAAAATCCATGTTTATCCCAAGATCCTTAAATAGGTGTAAATTGTGGAATTACTGGTAGATCTTGTATTTTGCTGAATGTCATGTTTGTTTGTGCTTGTTGTTACCTTCTGTAACTAAGCAATGCAATGCTGACCAGAGGGTGTCTTTTCCCCTGTTTCAGATCGCCTCAACCTTCCGAGCGTGCTAGTACTGAACAGCTGTGGCATAACCTGTGCAGGGGATGAGAATGAAATAGCTGCCTTCTGTGCTCACGTGTCTGAGCTAGATCTTTCTGACAATAAACTGGAAGACTGGCATGAGGTAAAATGCTTACACGTGCATCTTTCTGAATAACTTTGATGGCTATTACTATGACTGCAAGTGCATTGCAGGTTATAAGGGTATTTCGTTCATTTAAAGGAGAGAAATTTCCATTTTTTGTGGCTTCTTTCTCATCTTTGAAGCTAATGCTTATTTACTTTGACAACAACTGAGCAATAAACATAATGAATTTAATCTGTTTGGGCACTTCAGTCCATTTACCTCATGACTTATGATCTTGGCCTGTAGGTGACAAATATATATTTATATATGGTTTTTTTTTTTTTTTAATTGTGCAAAGCACTGGAACTGGCATTTCTAATGTCAAGAGGTTAATGAGCAGTGCAGTTATAACAGAGTAAGAACCGAGGAGGTCCGAGGAATGGGAGTTGATTCCCAGCCTGGCCACTGATTCTGTGATGCTGGGCAAGGTACTTATTCTCTCCCTGCTTTTGTTTCCCTGTCTGCAAAACAGGTTTAATAACATTTACCTCAAAGGATATTTCTGAGGCCTCATTAATTAATGCTAAATGCTACTGTAAAATCCTGTGAAGCGCTTGGACAAAATATGCGAGATAAATGCAATGTAATGTAACCCAAGTAAAACAACTGCAACCTGTTCAAGTGTTGTTAATGATAACTCACTGGCTTATGCTCTGCTTTTGTGTTGTGTTTATTGTTGGAAATATGTGGAAATGAACAGGGTGTGCAACATAAAAATTATCATGTGTTTCTGTGTCATCAAACTCCCGTGTCTTTAAAGAGGTAGTGAACGCAGCGTTTGCAGAAATGTCCCAGCTCCGGCACAGGGATTACAAAGTCAGAAGTGGGATAGGTTTCCCTGTTCCTGTTATTTCTGTGTTAGCCTAGAAGTTATTAGCTCAGCGGGCGGGAGAGAGATCTTAGGCTTGTCTGTTGAGAGTAAAGGCAGGGAAGATGGTTTTGTGCTGAGGGCATATCTGCTAAGAACTGGGATGGTGTCTCCTGACTTGTTTTATTCTGACCCTGAAAGGCCCCTTCCCATGGTAATGAGGTGCTGCCTCTCTGCTCCCTCTTCTGCCTCTTACTCTAAGTGGGGCTGACCTCATGTCTGGTAAGTAGCTGGGAGAGCTGCACATACGCTTGTCACTCGCAGGCACTTAGGCCTTGCACCCTGCTATTTGTTCAGTCTGTTCAGGCTACCCTGGATGGCACAATTTGCCAGCTTCTGCGTGAGTTGCAGCAAAGCGGGAAATGAAAGGCTTTCCATGTACTTTGGCCCCTTCCTCCAAGATGGGATTAAGTTTTCATAGCCCATCCACAACTGATAAATATCTGACTCTTAAAAATTGCCAGCAGTGGGGATTCCAGATCCCCGGGTAGCTTGTTCCCATGCTTAGCTAATAACCTTGTAGTCTAAACTATGTAACTTAAGTCTCCCATGCTGTAATTTAAGACAGTTGCTCCCTGCCGTGCTCTCAGCAGGCACAGAGGAGCATTCGTTGCTGTTCCTTCTATGACAGCCTTTTATGTCCATGAAGAAGAGCTTTTGTGTCTCCTTTTCCTATTTTAGTATAATACTGAAAAAATCCAGTTCTTCCAGTTCATCATAGGCCATTTTTTTCTAGATCCTGTGTTGCTTTTGTTGCTCTGATGTCATTCCAGTTTGTTTACTTCATTCCTAAGGTGTAGTGCCCAAAACATGACATCGCCTAAGATGAGGCTTCATCAGTGCGAAGTGAGGCAGACCAATTACCTCCAGCATCACTTACGCAACATTTGAATTCAACCTGCACATGAGACAGTTGCCCTTTGCCAGCAGCTGGGCCCTGTTGTTGACCTGTGTGTGTCATGGCCTGCCCCATCTCCTCCCAGCCCAATCGCTTTGTTGAGTGGAGCTCTCTAGCCAGCTGTTCTCTGACTCGTAATTATTTTCTGGATGAATGTCTTTTTCCCTGAATGTTAGGACTCTGACTGTCCTTGAGCTGAACTTCCATCTTACAGGTTCCAGATGGCTTTGCTTTGGCATCTAGCCTTGTACCACAATGTGATGGCAGCCTTTCCCACCTTAGTGTCACCTGCAGGTTAAGAAAACGCATGGCATTGAATTATTCTGGTCACTGAAAACATAACGAATGGTATTCTGCTAGAAGACTCCCTCAGTGTGTCTGCTAGCTCTGTGTTGAACTCTTAACTTACAGTGCTATCCCAGTTTGCCTATGCCACTGGTGTGTGGATGGCATCAAGCTGTCATTCCCTTATACTACTTCCCACTGAATCAGTTACCCAGTCAAAAATGAAAATTAGATTGATGTCATGTGTTCTTTACGAATTGGTGCTGCCTGGCTGCTCTGTTCACTTAATCATTATTAGGTGACTACAAATTGATCACCTAAATAATCTGTTCCCATATCTTTCTGTGTATTGGCAGTATCTAGGTCAGCACCTACGCTGATCACACAGTCCATTATGTATCCCATGCTCCAGAGCTGTACAGTTGTCATCTCTGGCTTTTCTTTCTCTTTCTTGATCTTTCTTCTTTACCTCTCTGCTAATTTGCCCTCAGGTGTGCATCTGTATGCACAAAAAGAGAAAGCAGCCCCAAGCAGAGTGACCCGAACATTTAGATTGATTGTAAGAAAGCTGCTGTTTTCAGACTAATGGAATCAAATAAGAAATTCATTGCATGTGTACAGTGAGCTTCTGTCTGTCTTTTACATTGGGCAAAATGGCAGTCTGTGGCTAGTGGGGAGCAGTGGAAAGCTGAGCAAGTGATCAGAGTGTCGGTCGTAAACTCAAGAGATGTGCCTGTTGCCCCCCTGATGAAAGAGGGATATGGCTTGCTGGCTCCTGTAACGTGCTGCTACTTAAGCTTGGTGTTGAGGTGGATTTTATGACCTCTCCCAAGAGACTGTCTTTCTCTTATCAAGCTGCTCAGAAAGTGTAATTAAATGAACTGTTGAGGTGAATGAGCAATTAACCGATCAATCTAGATCAGTGAATAGCTGGAGTATGAATTACAGGTAGTTATCAAGAAGTCTTATTTTTTTTCCCCATATCATTTCTTTGGCTTGTGGTGATTCCGAAGGGCCCCTTTTTAGGACATGGGATATTATTGCATGAGGTCCGATTACTGCCTGATACGCATTTCTTTCTTTCTCTTTTTTTCCCTCCCCACTTAGGTCAGTAAAATTGTGTCCAACGTTCCCCACTTGGAGTTTCTAAACTTGAGTTCCAACCCTCTCAGTTTGTCCGTTTTAGAGAGAAGGTGTGCTGGGTCTTTCGCTGGTGTTCGCAAACTTGTGCTCAACAACAGCAAAGCTTCCTGGGAAACAGTCCACACAATCCTGCAGGAATTACCGGAGTAAGCATGGGGAGTTGGGCATAGAAAGGGGTGCTCGCTGCACGCAGGCCAAGGCTGGCTTATCAAATCACATGGTGAGGGTTGAGAGGGATGTGAGGATGCAAACATGATCGGTAGAGAAAAAAGGGATTTTTTTTCTTTGGGAGCTTGGGAAACTGGCCAGGTGAATGCTTTACCTTGTCTTAAAAGCTGAACTTGTGTGGCGCAGCAAAGCCCGAGGCTTCTCATCCAGATCTAATTACCAGAGGTGGATAATCACCCCAACAACGTAGGAGGTGATGAGCTTTCCTCTGAGTCAGTGCAGAATGAATGGTGCAGTGCATACCTGTCCTAATAGCTTTTGGATGGTATGTAAGTGTGAGGGTCTGGCCACTTGTCAAGTAATATTTCATGGTGCTTTTCTGTGCAAAGGTGTTGATTTCTGTGGCTTGGCCACGGTCCGCCTCGGCAGTGGCATTCTGCTTTTGTGAATGTCCTCCGTGGCTTCATTTCAATAACAGATTCCTCTTCGTACAGCTTTGTAAGTGGAGATGACGACAGAAGTATATTCTGTGGCCAGTGTACACTTCCCTGGGACCAGGAGAGCTAGTTTAGTTGTCTGAAAACTTAGTGGGACCTGATCTTTGTTTAATGGGAATCTTTGGCAGAACCAGTGATGCAGGGAAAAAAAGTCATCTCTGTTGTATAAAAACACCTTTTTAAATTGAGCAGTGAGCATTGAGAGCAGGTACCAATCACCACTGGAGTTGGGTTGGTGGCTTGTTGGGCACAAATGTGGGACACCACCCCGAGCAATCTGTTATACAATTAATACTGGGATGCTAGGGCAACATGGAGAGGTGTTTTTCATCTGTGGAGGAAGTTTTCAGATGGGAGCAGAGATGTAGTCGGAACACTCCATTTGGAGTGCTCAAAGGTCTTCTCTCTACCAAGGTTTCAAATCACATAAGAGCCATTACAGGAAGTCATGTTAAAATCACATATGCCTGTCCCTGTACCCAAGAGGGTAGCCATTTCTCAAGGTATGTTGAGATGATGATATGATCTTTCTTCCCCTGTGCAGCTTGGAGGAGCTCTTCCTGTGCCTTAACGACTATGAAACAGTGTCTTGTTCTCCAGTTTGCTGTCAGTCTCTCAAATTACTCCACATAACTGACAATAATCTTCAAGACTGGACTGAAATTCGAAAATTGGGAATTATGTTTCCATCACTGGACACGCTTATTCTGGCTAACAACAACCTCACAACCATTGAAGAGTCGGAAGATTCCCTAGCAAGGCTGTTCCCCAACCTGCGATCCATCAATTTGCACAAGTCAGGTGAGAGCCTGGAAACAGTATGCTTTTTGTTCTTAGCATAAGCGATAGCGGTTGATCGGAGCCTCTCTTCCTGAGTAGATGGAAAACATACTTGCTTTGTGCTCTTTGAAACTTTGGCCTTGGCGTGACTGCTTCGTAGGCCTGTGTTAGCAGTCAGGAGCCTAAACCTTTGGGATAGTTCTGTTGCTGTAGCAGAGATGAAAATGCCCAGTGACCTTTTTCCTAATTTATCCCAGCTTCTCAGCAGAATCGAAAACTGTTGAAAAATGTTGTCCCAACAGACCTATCATGTTGAACTCTAGTTTCTTAACGGTGCTAATGCAGGGCCATGCAAGCAGATGTACTGAAGTGCACTGACCCAAAGAATGTAGCGTTAGGAGAGGAAAACAGGCAAGAAATCAACTTGTGTGTCTCTGTGGGCTTTACCTGCTGTTTTTGGTAGTTAGTCGTTATCTAAAAGATGAGTCAGAGTAGCATGGACTGGCAGTTATTCAAAATGAGCTGGCAAAGGTTTTTTACATTAGTATTTTCCCTCTGTTTCCTGTCCCTGCCTCAGGTGCTCCTGGCTGGAGAAGGAGAAATAAATGTCTGGCAGTGGAGGGGATGAAAGAATCCCATTTGCCTTTTATTCCCTGGTTTATCTTGGGTAAAATGAGCACATGTGTAGGTATGTGGCATGTAAGAGCCGAGTGTTCATCAGCAAAAGCTGTCCATCATCTTTGCTCGGTTGTTAGAAGCTCACCACAAGTTATGCTTGGCTGCTTTTACACTTAAGCCCCAGAGAATTTTCAGCCAACGCTCCACAAAGAGAATAAGCATTTGGCATATTGGGAAGGACACCCCGCACTTAGAGAGGGGGAGTTGCAGGGCAGCTCGTGAGGGCTGTGACGTGTTTGTGAGATGACACATGCGCCAGAAGTTGTTCTGCAGGACTTAATGCATCATCATCTTTTGTTCTTTACAGCTTTATATGCTGTGCAAGTGACAGCTAAGTGTTAGCCAAGGTAGAAGGTGCTTTATTAACATGCTCTGCAGTGTAAGCATCAAGGAATCCCTATAATAAAAGCTTAAAGCTAACTAGAAGAAGAAAAGCCTGTTAAGCTGGATTTGAAAGACCTGTCTCACTGAGGAGCAAGTGCTCCTGTGGTAAGCAGTTTTGCAATTTTGATGCCAGGTATTTGAGAAGTCCAGAGTCTGTATTACATTTTGATGTTTTGGGAGCTGAAAGTCAGATAGAAATCCCAAAGAGCATGTTAAAGTTTTATTTATTTATTTATTTATTTATTGGGAAAGCTGCGATTTATTTATTTATTTATGCATTCATTTATTTTAAGGGAAAGCAGTGATTTATTTATTTATTTATTTTAAGGGAAAGCTGCTGCACTCCAAAATTCTATCACGTGAAGACTCCAAACTGGTGTCTCTCTTTTTGCAGGCTCTTTTAGCTTAGTGGAGATCAGGGATGAGCTAAAGATAATGGTTTTTAGTGAAGTTGTAGCACAACGGGGTCCTGAGGGGGTGAACAGATTTTCCTGGCAAGGAGGATGCCGTGGCTGACAGCAGGTTCTCCTTCGGAGGCAGTCGTATCTCTGCACTAGCTTTCTCCCAGGTACAAGAGCTTTTTTGCCCTCTGACTCTGAAGAGTGGAGTGATCTAGAGAGGTACTGGGCACTCTTTGGTGACTTGCCCAGAGATCAAGTGGAAGAGTTCTCCTTCTGTCACAAACTTGTACTCAGTCTGTAAATGTGGCTGATGCCATGCTCTGATACCCAGAGTATGGCTTTAGGCATACGTGACCTTGGCAGAGGTGTTTCAAGTGCTACAGGGAAAGGAAACTCTCTCTGCCCACCTTGCACTCAGTGCTGTGATACAGGAGTTTTGTTTCTGCTCTGAAAAGAGCCCCTTCGTCTGAGTTGTGGTTACGATACATGGTTTGGGCTTGAACTTGGCATTTCCTGACAGGCTTAGCTGAAATGAGACCCTGATTTTGTTTGAACTGATAATTTTTCTGTTTTTTTACATTTTTCTGTACTGTGTGGGTGAAGCTGTTGAATGTTGTTCAAAGAAACGAGTTTTCTAACTGGTGTTGCCAGCATAAGCTTCTGGAACAGTCATCGGAAAAGCATCATGGTAGACATTTCCACAGTTGCAGTAAAGACCAGTAGTGTTGATCTCGCCACATAATCAGGGCTATGCTATTGCTCAATTCTCAGATTTTTTATTTTACTCTCTCTGCTTGCCTTGTTATCCCCAATGTCAAGGCTTGAGGGGGCTGAAATGAGTTAAAGCCTTTTTCATTAAATGGCTGGATGGCTTCTGGGACTGTTTTACCATTGGGTCGTGAGCAGAAATGGGACCCAAGGTGGTCATGTGTGTGAGGTAAAGGCATTTGATGGCTATTTAGCGACACCTAGAATGACAGAAGTCCCGATAACTTTAATACTTCTTAAGGCAGCATCCCTTTATAGATGCAGCCATCATAACTGATGCTAGTCAGTCCTTGGCAGTGAGGCCAAAGACTGAATGGTCCATAAAAAACTAAGCTCCCTAACCAGCCATGGAGATCATCCTTCTAAACTTACAAAACAGCATGAGAGAATTTAAACTACTCTGTCGTGTAAGCAAATGAAAGAGGTTTTTTGCAGCCCATCATGAGCAAAAAGTTGACTTCAAAAGCAAAAAGAAACAGCAGCTGACGCTTGCCTGTCACGTATGTTCTTTGGCTGTGTCCCATTATCTTGGATACATGATATATTATCTGTGTTTCTTAAAGCAAGTCTTTTCTTCCGAGCAGGTCTGCATTGCTGGGAAGACATAGACAAGTTAAATTCTTTTCCCAAGCTCGAGGAAGTGAAATTGCTAGGAATCCCTTTGCTGCAGTCCTACACTACTGAGGAACGCAGGAAGCTGCTAATAGCCAGGTCAGTTCTTGTTTATTCTGCTCAGCAGAAATGTTACACGGCAATGAACGGCTGGGAGTGGGTAATCGGAGGAAGAGGCTGTTAGGAGATGGGGTTTTGTATTAATTCACCGCTCAGAAAGATTTGAGCTTTTTTTTTGTGGGGGGGAAAGTGAGAGTAGTGGAAATTTTAAGCCTAACTTCTCTACTCAGAGAATGTTTTGAGTCTCATACATGCCTGTGCACACGATGCATATATGTGGTGAAATGAAACTGCTTAGTTCTGAGTGTTCTTGGAGAAACTGCGTGGAACTTCCCCTTTCTCTCGAGGGGACCGAGGCGTGAGCTACCTGTCAGGATTCTCCTGGTGTTAATGTTGTGGCACGTAGCTTTTGATGGTGACCGTCTTGGTGGTCACCCTGTCCGGGTTTCTTTTCTTGCTGACTGTATTTCTTGGTGTCTGCATGCAGGTTGCCATCTATTGTCAAGCTCAACGGAAGCATCGTTGCTGATGGGGAGCGAGAGGACTCGGAGCGATTCTTCATCCGGTATTACATGGAGTTCCCGGAGGAGGAAGTCCCATTCAGGTATGAATTCTTTGTCATGGAATGGAGAGCAGTGACAGAAGGACAGCGAGGCAAAGGAAAGGTGACTGAACAGATGATGTTACATGGGAAATCTGGGCTAACTGTTCCATGAAAAACATCCCTTGCCTTCCTCCTGTCTTGCCTTCCTTAATCTGTTTTAGTTAATGTCGTTACATTAGAGTGTTGTCTGATGACTTCGAGAATCACTTCAGTGTCAAATTTGGTCTTAAAGTGTCCGCATCAAGTGCCGTTAACAATGTGACTGTTCAGTTCATGATCTTCATTGCTTCCTGGCCTCCTCAGTGGCTAGCTTCATAATCCACCTGTGTTTGGGAGTCCCCAAAAGCCAGTACAGATTGTGCTCTCTGGTGCCAGGCCGGGCATCTAATTCTCTTGAACATCTGGTGCATGGAATGTGACTGGCAACGGGAAGCTGTCCCCTCACTTTCAGGCCCGCAAATCGCAAGTCTGATAGTTTTTCTTTGCCAAAAAAGTGTGCCCAATGATCCGTTAATCTTGGTAAACTAATGAACTTTGACAGATGCTGTTCAGTCAGTATCTTCTCTGTGCCAGCATCTACTTACTGCTTCTTAATGGGCTGAGGAAGGATCATGGAGCATCAACCCACTGCATTTACATGCCTTTTGCCCTAGAACCCCTATGTGCTTTTCAGACAACAAAGCTTCATAGCCCTTTCTTTTCGGAAAGGGGGTAGGACAAGAGCACGTGTGAGTGTCTGGGGGGACAGACAGAAGTAGGCACAAACTGAGGTAGAGAATGTCAAAGGTATGGCCCAGTACGGATGACAAAGATTTGAATGGAATCTGGCTGGTGTTTACATTGGCTGGTCAGCTTTTCCCCCAGCTTAACTCATAGGTAAAATGTGTCTTGTTTTTGGAAAGCACTGCGTATGCGGCCTGCCAATACAGTAGGGCCACGGGAAGGCTGGAATGGGGAATGAGGGCATGGCGTTTTGTATGAATACTAATAGGTCCAGCGATTATAGTATTTGTTAAAGGCGAACTGGGGTCAATTCAGAGGTGAAAGGTACTAATGTAGGCAGGGAGACAAGACAGCTAGTGACCCCTCTTGTGCCTTTTTCTGAGGACAAGTCCTGGCTTGTAATTTTAGAAGCCCTTGAAGCAGAAAAATGGAAGGAAATGTTGGAAGGTATAGTAGCAGGGGCAGAGAATGCAGGGGAAAGGAAGGGGAGACAGGAACTGCGAGCTCATGGTGCTGCTCCCAGAATGGATTATTTTCCGTAACATTTTATTTTTAAGAAAAGTGTTTCATGTCTCTGTGTTCGTGGCTCTAGAAGGGGAGAATAATAACAGGGCAGCTGAGCCCAACAGCTGCAGCGCAGTCCTGCCCTTTGGCAAACAGGGCTTGGACTGACCTGCAAAACCAGCCAGAAGAAGGCAAGGCAGGCCCTCGTGTTGAAAGTGGTGTATTTGGTGGCAGCCTCAGAGGGGAGCTAGGGTGCGAGCAGCCCTTTGATCCTTGTGGAACAGCTGTGCAGCCCTGAGCTCGGGAGGAAAGGTTTGTGCACGAGAGGGAAGATAAATAAATAGCTGGCAGGCTTTGAATCTTTTCCCGCTGGACTTGCATCTCTGGATATCGTGTCCAGGACCCATATATTGCTGAGAAGGATGCAGTGGGGTATAGCTTGAGACACGGATGATGCTCCTGTTAGGATGTGGACTTTGGGAACAGGCTGCGTGTACCCACATGTACACAATACCGCACACAACTGGAGTCGGTTTTCAGATGGGGGCTTATGTACGAAATTACTAATATCCCACCCATTCAAAAAAGCTGAGCCTTGGGATCTTGACCAACATGCTAACTCTATGCTGTTTTGGTAAGATACAGGAGAATTACCTCCCCCTCTGATTTCTTGACCTTCAAACACTGTTACTGCCCTTCTCGTGGTCAATGGGCTCTTTGTCTGAATCCCTTCATCTATGCAGTGTTTCCAAGAGACTTGTGCAGCTACTAAAGAGGGTTGTTTTGTTCTGGAGGAGTTGTGTGCCGCTACAGACTATTTACTAAAGAGGCTGTAGATGGTTTAGAGTGTCCCTAGTGCCAGGTTTCAGTTCCTGGACCCGTATGCAGCAGCCCTATGTAGGAAGGAAACCTGTCATTCTTTGCAGAGGGATTTTGTGTGTGTTTGTTGCTAAAGCTTCCTCTTCTTTGCTCCCAAAGCTGGTGTGGTCTCTCTGAAGGTGGTTTGTAATTAGAATCTAATCAGGACACACACATGTTGTTACTGGGGATACGGCATCTGCATTGCAGTGCCACCTCAAGCGGAGGAAGAGGATGCACTTGGGAACGGAAAACTTGGGAGCACAAGCAGCTCCCCTCAAAGCTGTTGAGGTGTAGCGTGCGATAAGCGAATGGCATGCTCTCTCACGGCAAACCCCCCTGCTTGCATTGCATGTCTTCATGGGCTGCATCTCGAAGGAATCGGAACGAGAGGGAAATGGAAAGAATAATTTCTCTCTCTGGATGTCGTGGGGTAGAAAGGAGCGCCAAGTGTACAATCCAATATTGGCTGTCTTCTTGAGTGACGTCTTTTCGTCTGTGGGTTTTTAATGAGTCCTCTGCTTGTCTGGTCTGCTGTTTATCTGCAGAATATCAGAGACACTTTTAGCCTGGCTCAGCTCTTCAGCATCCTCTGCTCTGGCAGCCAACATCTGCCAGGCTGCAAGGGGTGATTAGAAAAGTCTCCAGGGTGCCTATTATCGGGGTACAAAAGAACCGTATGAGCAGTATGCCTTCATCCTTATTGATTTGAGGGAAGCCAGTCATCCAGACTCCTAACTTTCTTTGCAGGCTGCAGCTAGCATATGAGGAGCAGGCTGTGAAGCTTTTTCTGCCTTTCCTTGATGTGAGAAAATTTAAGACAATGTTGCCTGACCCTCTGCATATTTACAGCGCTCATTTGGGTAACTTTAGCCCACTGACGGTACTTACTTCTCTCTCTCAGCTTGCTTGAAATTTGTCCCCCTCTTTATACTCCTCCACCATCAGCCCTTGTTTACTGCAGTTTCCCTTAGTGCATGAATCGTGGCAATACTTCTGGTCAGCACATGAGAAATAGTTGCTGGTCTGCAGCAGAAACCATGCTGCAAAGAAGTCCTCTCTGTCAACGCTGCATTGGCTAGTGCTCGCTCTTACTGTGGACAGTAGCCCGGTGGGTAAAATATGTGGAGTGTGTTGTCTCCTCTCAGCACTAATGGCTTTTCCAAATAAATAGGCCTGATCCTATCACCCAGGTGACTGTGAGAACAGGGCACCGGCCTGCTTTTGGACGCTTTGCCATGGTGAAGGCTTGCTTTGTCCATGAGACTGGGGAAATCCTAGTGCATTGTGGCCCTTACCTCATTTCCCAGCAGACAGAGGGTTTGCTGTTCTCCAGGAACATTCCTGCCTTCAGCAGGCCTCCCTGGGGTCACTCAGCCTGCCAGCTCCCATCATCTCTCAACAGGGGCCATGACACAGCACTGATCGCATTCAGCTCAGACTCGGATCAGGAACAAAAAGAGCTTTCTGTATGGCGCTTAGCAGAGAGCCTCTGAAACATTACCTTTCCTCAGCCGCTCTCGGTCTTTGTCATTTCAATCACATTGTGTTCTGTGTTGCCGTTTTGCCTCTTTCCCAGACAGGCAGGGGAGATGCAGCCTTGCCTGATCAGAGTGATACTGGCTGAAGGCGGCGGGAGGGTGAGACAGGCTGTCCATTGCAGGGGATGGCTTCCCGGGACGGACCTTGTGAAGGACAGTCAGAGAACTTGGCTCCATGGAGAAAGTGATAGTGGAGTGCGTGGCTCTCCTGGTAAAATTCCCATGTTGTTTTAGAGTAGGTGTGAAGGATCAGTTGGCAAGAAGTCCCCTGTTTGTTGTCAGCTTCCAAACTGTGTGGCAGCTCACCTTGATTTGGTGATCTTGGTGACCCTGTGCTCAGTGGAGTGTAACATTTGGGACCTAGCTGACCTCTTGGAAAAGAGCAGAAATATCTGAAAATCGGTCAGGCTGTGAAGCCACAGATACTGGGGATCTAGACTGAGGGCTGTATCCTTTGTGTGCGCGCTAGCTTGGTTCTGGCACTTCTTAGTGAAGTGTTTTCACTGGAGCAGGAGGCATAGAGCCTTGTGAGTATAGCATCCTCTCTTTCTTCTAAATCCCACTGTAGCCACATGTGGGGTTCCTGAAATTGTGGGAACGCAGTAGAGAGCTTCGCTGCTCAGTCTTGTTCAGGAAGATGTTTTGAGACCAGTCAACCCAGAACGTTTCAGGTTAGTGAAGACTTCACCTTCCTCTGCTAGATGCCTCCTCCCTAGTCAGATGCTTGCTCAGGTTCACATCGGTGCCACATGCGAAATGTGCATGCGCACCCGTGCAACTTGGGGACTGTGAGATGAGGTGAGTGAAGCGGATGGGCTTTCTGGGTTTTATTTTCTCCTTTTTAGCATCTTGCTTGAGAAACACTGTGTGCTTTGTGAAGTGTCACGCTGGCAGGGAAGAAAAAGGGACTCGCATCATCCGGATTTATTCCTAATGGATGGCTGTTCCGGTCATCAGACTTGAATCAGGGTGAATGTTGCCTCACGTGAGGAACATTCAGCTTCCCAAAGCATGAGAGGTCGGTGGCAAATGGAGAGGGTGGCTGGGGTTTTCCTTTAGTCGCTGCTGGGTGAGAGACTTGTATGGAGAGAGGCGCGTACTGAAGGGGTTTGAATGCTAGCACAGCAATGTTCTTTACTCATGGGAGCCTCATCCATCCTTCCCACCTTGAGTGAAGCGCCAGTTAAACTGAGAGATGTTTTGGAAGAGCCATATGCCACCTAGTCACTGACATGGAGGATGAGGACAGCTCATTGCTGTCTGGGTTCTGGTTTTAGCTCTTGTCAAGGAGTTCTGGTCTTTAGATGGATCGCGCCTTGGAATCTGCGCTAACTCTCTTGTCATCTGGTCACTGTACTCTCCCTGCAGATGTTCGTTTATACTTTGCAGACTCGTAGCATCCCTGGATGATTGCAGCTGAAGCGGGGTAGTATCATAATATGAAACAGAAACTGACTTGCGAAACTTGCATTGGCCGAGCAGCAATTGTACCGTAACTCTGGACTTGTTTAATTTTTCAGGTATCACGAGCTGGTCACAAAGTACGGGAAGCTGGAGCCCTTGGCAGTCGTGGATCTTCGGCCACAGAGCAGCGTGAAGGTGGAGGTTCACTTCCAGGATAAAGTGGAAGAGATGTCTATCCGTCTCGATCAGACTGTGGCAGAACTGAAGAAGCAATTGAAAACTGTAGTGCAGTTGTCAACAAGCAACATGCTGCTCTTCTACTTGGACCAGGAAGCTCCCTTTGGTCCCGAGGAGATGAAATACAGCTCGCGAGCACTGCATTCTTATGGCATTCGGGATGGAGATAAAATTTATGTGGAGCCCAGAATGAAATAGCCTCTTTTGACCTTGTGAGTGCACGCACGTGCACACACTTGACCCCACACACCCACACACATGCATTAAGGAGTTTTTGCGAGGTTTTTATTTCGGTAGGTTGGTCGAGGTTTGGTTGCGTTTCTGTAGCAGGTAATTTCTTGGCCCGCAGGGAGTGCCCTGATCTGAACCATGCCCGCCATCCACTGCAGGTGACCTTGAGGTGACAATTGACTTCAGTGCGTGTGTTTCAGTGTGTGCAATATCTTGACGTTTTTTTCCGATGCTCCGGTATACTCGTGATTTGGCATGAATGGTCAGTTGTTCAAGCTAAAGAATGCTAGGGCCTATAAGGGAGAAGAATTTGACCTGTTTTTTTTCTTTTTCTAAATTTTTGGGGGTTTGGCTCCACCAGAGTGCCCTTTGGCCTAGCTATCCGACTGTGGCTCGAGCTTGCTGAAGTATTTTTTTGCAGCTGGGTGCTGTCTCAACCTTTTGTTGCGCTCGAGTTCACTGAAAAGATCTAAAACGGTATTGTGCTTGATTCTGAGCTCAGGTATTTAGTGCATCCACTTAACACCATTGGTTTGGTTTGTAGGAGTGCACAAAATGGGGGAAAGAAAGAGACCCTATTAGAAAGAAACAACTTATTTTCAAAACGCACACTCTATATCCACGCTGTCCTATTGTGATTTTTTTTTTTTTTTGGGAAAAAAAAAAGTTTTAATTTTTGTACCCATCTCACACACTGTCTGCAACCTGTAGCACTGGCAGTCTGGAGGCAGAGAGACCCTTGTCGTGTGCGTTGCAAAGTGAATTTTGGAAGGCAGTGGATGGGTGTTGCGTTGGAAGGGCTTCTGGACTGACAGGTCGAAGAGGGGTTGAAGAGCAGATTCCCCTGTTGGCCGTGATTCATCCCCACGATGCTGAAGAGATCCTCCAACATGCACTTAAACCTTGTACCAGTTTGTACTGAAAGTGGAATGGCTAAAATTGTTCTCCAGGGAGGGAATAAGAGTAAAGTTGAAGTTTGTGTTTGTTGCTGTTGCACCAGAAACGAAACCTAGCACTTTCCCCAGTGGGGCCCTGGCTGTGGGCTCCCTGCTTAGGGTCCGAACTAGGAGAATGTGTTGGCTCGGATCAGTTTCTAGAAGACTAGTAACAAAGCAACTAGACTCACGTTTATTGTAAAGCGAGTTTTCACTATCTGCATTGGCTCCCCCCTCCCACACTCCTTGTAGGCATCACGTGCTGCTGCTTAAATTAGCCCCTGTTTTCTACTGCAGAGCAGATTCCCTTTCTCGTGTGATGAAACCCTCCTTCCTCTATATCTCTTATTTTTCTTTCCTGTGTCCTCCCTTGTTCCTCTGTCCTCTCTGAAGACTTTTGAGATTGCCTAGTTATAAGCAGCTGTGTAAGAGTTTTTGAAGCTGTGCAGCGACAGCTCTAGTTACACATGAACTTCTAACCTTAATTTTGAAATGCTCCCTTATCCCCACGTGCACTTTCTTTCTCATGATGCTTTTGTCCGCATCGCTGAGCTCCTTTATATTCTTGGAGTTGTGTGTTTGTCTTCATATTTTACCTAGATCATGGGGTGGGGTAGGACGAAGTATTATCTTGTAGTCTTCAGGTTCAGGATGTGGGAACCATTCGGAGGGGAGTAGTTCTGCATCCAGTAATGATTAAAAATGGGAGGATTTAAGACAAGTTACTAATTTTTGCCTCACCCCCCTGCCAAAAATGTTGATCTCCTGGCCCCGATGAAATGAGCAATAGAGAATGGAGCGAGACTCGCCACAGGTAGCATAGAGGCCGCGGCACATAGCTGCGGAGCCGTGTGTACCCGTAAAACAAAAGAACGGGGAGATGGCGGCAGTGTAACATAAGATGATGCTTTTATAAGCTAAAGCTTTACTGAAGATGTATTTTCCATTTGGGCAGAGAAAGGCATTTGCTGCCTTATAGCAGAACTCTTAAGCCAACATTTCTGTATGATATATACATACGTACGCATAGGAAAAGTTGTGTTTAATAAGATATTTTGTTATAAAACAAAGTTTTATGAAGATATGGTTGTTTAATATTAGAAGCCTATTTCTCCCCTTGACCTCCAGTTTAAGTAGGTTATCCCTCAGTCGCTGCAGTGTCAGAGGTAAGCGACCGACAGGGATGCGAAAGTATCTCTGACCTAATTCTATAGCGCAGTAATTGCCTATGTGGGTATATTTATGGCATTGTAATTGGTATTAACGAGATGCTGTAACTATTGACCAACTTCCTCAGCACAATTAAATGTCTTGATTTCAGAGAAGAAAATAAACAAAGACCATTAAAGAATTGACTGGAATGTTAAAGAAGACCCAAGTATGTGCTTTTAAGTTTGTTTGCCCACAAAAGGTTAGCCTGCCCGCAGAGGGAACGTTGCTGCTGCCACTCCAGCTCAGAACTGTCAGTAAATCATGCTTTTATTTATGGCGGAGCTGGTGGGAACTGGAAGATGGAAAAAGAGAATACCTACTGGCATACGAGGTCGCCAAGTGCCACGTAGTTGCTGGGGATTTGGTGCTAACACCCAAACCGGCTCCCTTGGTCTCTTCGAGTCAGCAAAAGTCATGATACAAGTATCGCCTTCATCAGGGGAAGGTTGTTTCTGGACGACATTCTCAAGCCATTCACCTGCGCCACTAACAGAGCAGTCGTGGGGTGGAAACCAAAAATCTTGGTTGGCTTCCCAAGGAGAAAGAGTCACGTCCAAAACCCAGGGACAGTTTATGCATCTAGATGATTGACTTTGAAACGTAAGGCCAAATGGCGCGCAACCAATGTGGTAAAATACCCCGAGCTGGCTCACTTTCCTTTTGTAATACCATTTGGGAAAGGGTCTTGTATGTGTGCCATGTTACCGCTTAACAGGGGACCATGTCTTGGGGAGAGAGGGGAAGGCTCTCAGCGAGAGAGGGAGTTTTGGGCTGACGTGGGTGCCGAGAATCTGGAAGGGTCCTGAGAGGGTGGGCCATTTGATTTAAATCGATGCAGTGTCATGAGGGGCTGCGTCCCAGTGTTGTCGACATAAACCTGCTTTAGCGAAAGGTCCCTGGTTCTGTTGCATTCCTTTGAGAAAACAGATTTGCAAGCTTCTCTAGCTTTCGTGTCCTTCTATCCGAGGGCTACTTTTGTCAAGAACAGTTTTGTTGTTCGTGCAAGTTCATGCAGAAAAGTCTGCTGCGGGCAGGCTATGGAAAAGCACCTGGTTCGGAAGGAATTGGGTTGCAGCTATATACCAAAGTGTCGCACGGCTCCGTGTATTGAGATTAGATGCTGTGCCGTTGTGTTTTTGGATACATTCCTATTGAATATCTTGTGTTTTGACCAGATGTTTCGGGAGGATCGCTTAACCATAAATGTTAACAAATATGCATGGCGTGACGACTGTCTTCTGCTTCCTCAGTGGGGTTTGTAACCCCCTTTATTGGGAGTTGCGTACACCCCGGTGGCAGATGATCGTGCGGCCCATGGTGGCTCGGAGCAGCTCGGAGGAACCGCACCTAATGGCGCTCGTTGCTTCTGGGAAGAGGCTCTCGGTTTGCCCTCGCCTACTCGGCTCTGTAATCTGAAGAAGGCGACGGCGCGGCTCTGCCTCCGTCGGTTGCCATTTTTGCTTGTAGATGAGATTCTGTAGGTTCTGTTCATGTGTGGATTTGAAAATGCAAACGAGGTGCTGAAAGGAGCCCAGAGGCTACAATATGCATTCCTGGCAGCTGTGCCTGCCTCATTTGAATGTGGCACTTTTGTAGGCGGTAGAGAGATGCCTTCCCCAGAGCAATGTTAGAGGGGCTTTAGCCATCTCGGGCCTTTCCTTCTGTGATTGCTTTTCTGCAGTGAGTGGAAATTTCAAATATAATTTAAACATGCAGGTCTATTCTTTCTCCCTATTAATGATGCATCCATATGTAATTTTAAAGAACAAGGAAGAACTGTAAGTCAATCTCCGTTTTCTTCTGGTTTCTCTCACGGGGAGTATATTTCCCACTCCCACAATTTGCCTTTGGTTCGCTCGCAGACTTAGCGGTGGAATTCAGGCCAAATAGGTAATTGGTTTGGATCAGTTCAATAAACTTATGTAAGTTTTTACACAAGAAAAGTGTCATGAGTTTTAAGCTTTTGTGTTCTCTGAAGCAAAACGTTTCCCTCCGTCTCACCCGCATGCTTAATATGGGCCTTCAGGAGAGTGAAAGCTGCTGAGATTTCTTTTTTGTTCTGTTTGTGTGGGCTGTCTGCCGAGTGAGCTGGGGCTGTCGCTTGGGCACAGCCACCTCATTTGTGCGAGATGCTGCTTGTCGGAAGGAGAAGTCACAGTGCTGGAAGAAGAAGTCCTCTTCTGGACTGTGTTCCTCTGTGGCGGTGACTCATCTCCACGACGAGGTGAGGAACAAGGCTCGAGCACGGTATTCCTGCTCCGTGTCCTCAGTGGGACCAGCCTCAGGGTTAAAATGAGTTTCGCCCTCGAGGAAAGGCTTGTAGTTGCTGATAGGAAGGGTGCTATGGCCCACTAAAGCAGTAGTCATGGGCTTAGCCCATGCTGGCCCACACCAAACGACCCTGGGGAGGGAGGTGCCCCTCCAGATGGGACGCAGCTCCCGGGCAAGCCCCTCGCCAGGATGTCTTCCCTGGGCTGGGCCAGGTCCCGTGAAATGGGAATGCAACAAGGCACTGCCTGTGGTTGCTCTGCCGAGGTCAAGCAGCCAGAGATTCCCTTGTCTCATCTTTTAATGCTTTGTTTTCTTGAGGTGGGGCATGAGAAGGAAGTTTTCTGCTAGAAGAAAAAGACACAGCGGTCGGTCGTTCAGCTCTGGTGTGCTCAGCACTGCATGATGGCAGCATCCCCTGCCAAAAGAAAATAGCCTAGAAGACAAAGTCTTCCCCAAAGAGGCGATGAAACCTAATCAAACTTCATCAGTGTAGTCTTGCCCAGGATGAACAGGACCAGAATATTAAATTGAGAAAGGAGCAGAGGGAAACCTATTTTCACTAGTTTTCTCTGTCTTACAAAACAGAAAGAGAAGAGTCAATTGATTTTCTTGTGTCTGGTAACGTTTAAAATTTGTATGGGAGGGAAAGGAAGAGCCAGGGAATGTGGAGTGGCAGACTGGAAGTAATCTGCTCCTGGAATATCAGGCAGTGCTGTATAATCACCCTGCCTTCCTAAAGTAGTTTTTGGTTTAGAAAAGGGAAAAAATAAATTTAAAAAAAAAAGAAAAAGAAGAAAGCTTCCTGCTAGCAAGGCCATGCTTGGAAGATAGAGAAGG